GCTCAGGGAAAGGCTCCACCTACGATGGGATGTAGAGCTTCAACGGTTTTGTCTAGTGGTACCCACGAGTCTATGAGGCAGACTTACGCACGCGGTGCACGAAAAATATATACATTTGGGTGTCAAGAAAACACTCTCGACCTTAAGGATGGATTTATATTGGCCAGAAATGGACAACAATGTGTATTTTTTGTATTAAGGCTTGTCCAGAGTGTGCACGTCAGAAGTCACCAACACAACCACACAGGGTGCCGCTGCAATCCATAACGGTGTCTCGTGTGAACGAATTGGTGGCATGGGACATTTTGGGACCATTTCCCGTTACCCAGAGAGGTCACAAATATTTGCTAGTTGGAGTTGAGTATCTCACCCGATGGCCAATGGCGTGGCCTTTGGCTGACCAATCGGCGGCGTCCATAACTGAGGCCTTTCTGCAGGGGTGCGTGGTTGACAATGGTGCCCCGGAAAATTAGCTCACTGACCAGGGTAAAATGTTTTCCTCTAAGCTACTGAAGGAGGTGTGTGACTCCCTGGGTACTAAAAAGATTCGGACTTCCCCCTAACACCCATAAATGGATGGAATGGTTGAACGATTGCACCGGACCTTGACATCCATGTTGTATCAGCAGGTGAACGCGGTTCAGTCTGATTGGGACTTGCACATCCTGAACGTCCTTGTCACCTATAGGCTGGCCCCACACACATCGACGGTGGTTTTTGCCCTTTTATTTAATGTATGGTAGGGAACCCGAAACCCCTACGTTGGTACAATTGGGCGTGTGTCCACCAGGCAAAACATCCACTTTGCCAGTTCCCATGCAAGTGACCCTCGACTGGTTAAGGGAGGCTCGAGAGGCGGCCATAAACAACTCGGCCCAGAGGCAGGCGGCCAACGAACGGCTGCAAGGTACACAACCTCCAGGTGACTCATGGCAGGTAGGAGACAGGGCATGGTTTCATTTCCCTCAGGTGACAGTGAGCACATCACCAAAACTACATCGTCTGTGGCAATGTCTGGTTGAAGTTGTAGATGTTGGACGACCCCAGTGCATGCACATTCAAGTCGGGCGACGTCGTTGGTTCGTACACCCATCAGGTCTCAAAAAATGTGTACAACCGCATCTCAATGCGTCATCTCCCATCCCAAAATGGCCTGTGTTGGATGCGTCCGACGAGTTGGTCACACCGCTCCAAGCTGATGTGCGTCAGGAGTATTGTCCTCTTCCACCCACAGGATCGCGACAACTGACGCCCCAGAACAAGCCGACCGGTCCGCCGCCTGAGTCCGGGCCGTGGGACCTGCAGCGAGCACGTCACTCGTCATTGAAGGGACATGTGCACATAGGGTTATCTTCAACCCGAAAGTTACTACAGTTACGTTCCCACATGACCCGCCATCTGTACACCGTTTGCCATGGAAGAGACATCGCTCCTCGTCCAATTCTGGCTATTCTCTTCCTCTGCCAGTCTTGGATCCGGGTCGTGAGGACGGGCTGGCTGTAGGAACCTACTCCCGGAGAATTACGTTCTGTTGAGGAATGTGGGATCGACGGCGCCATGGACCGCTGCACCGTTCTTTCCTCCGTAGAACAGACTGCACTTTGCACTCCCACATATTGTTATTATTGTTGTGTTCTTTCTCTTCTATTGTTGTTACTTGTGTCACGAATTCGCGTGTCACTTGGGTTGTATATTTGGTCAGCCGGAACGGCTGGGTTTTTCATCACGGGGGTTGGGGTGATATGGTGGCGTAACGCGCGCAGGGTTGCAAACAGCGGATGCATTCACGCGCAGGGTTGCAAACAACAAATGCATTCACGCGCGGAGTTTACAAACAACGGGTACATTTCAGGGAAAGCAGGGGCAAGCGTTAGGACATGGAACAGCCGCCAGAGAGGAGCCAGCAATTAAGGGAGCAGGAAGTAGGCGGGTGCATTTGGAGACAGGCAGGTACAAGCGTGCAAACACGGAATAGGCGCCGGAGAGACGGGAGATGGAGACGATAAGGGATAGAAAGCGCGTACAGGAGGTGCCGCCGAGGTGCCGACTTAATAAGGGGCAACTGAGGACCCTTAATGAGGAAGGGGATATAAAGGGGTGTGCGTAGAACATGGGGTTAATTTGGTTGGAGCTGAAGAAATGAAGAGAACAATAGCCGGAGACAAGAAGCGTGGGACCTTGCCCTCCACACCTTGTCCTCCCCAGAAGTGTTGGCTGATCCCCGCTGGGGGCACGGACGAGGTTGGAGGTGTGAGAGAGACTGACAGGCAAGCGGAGAGTTCAGTAACAGGCTAGCGGAGTATTGAGTGACAGCCTAGCATAGTAAGAGAGAGAATTCGGAGCAAGAGTGCGTTGTGTAAATAAGTAATAAAGTGGCATAGGAGAAAAGCTGACAGTGTCCGTGAGTGAATACACCACTACAATTGTACTGTCCTGATGAGTCGCAATGAAGGCGAAACAGATCTGCAGCTGTGTCTGCTTCCCTGCTACCTGTTATGGGAATGACCACATTTTCTCAACTCTTTGAGTCGGTGGTTCTAAACGACTCCCACACGCGCGGTTCTTTTGAGCTGGTGGTCTGTATAAGGCTGAAAGCGATTGGACATGCAATTAACTGACCCGGCGACCTATGATTTGTAAACCTCAAAATGAAGATGAGATATACATTGCGGCAGAATCCACCAGCACGACTCAGTGCAGCTACCCCAGCAGTTTCGCAGCATTGCCCCATTCTCACTTGGGTAGGCTTCCGAACCCACGCGAGGGCATTTAAGTTAAACTTGAGGAGATAGCCCCCAGCACAGGTCCGAAGGGAAACCATGGCACCTCTACTATGAAATTACAAAGCAACATTTATGGGTTGAAGAGAGAGAGAGAGAAAAAATTAACCCGTAAAAACAAAGTTTTTCACTATAAATCCTTTATATGCGTGGCGGCTAGAGTCCTCTCGTCCTCTGGCTTGAGATGGCTGCCACCTATGGGTCAGACGATTGCTTTGCACCATTAAGCAATTGGTAATTACATATAATTTTTTGTTCCTAAAAAGTGTAACATTTTGGAAAAAAATTTCACGAAAATTAATTGTCACGCACAACGAGTCTGTGTGGAAAATGTCAGCTCAATTGGATCACGGGAAGTGGGTAAAAAAACGACCGAAAGATTTGCACGGTCGTAAGCAAGCAAGCAAGCACGCAAGCACGCAAGCAAGCAAGCAAGTGAACTTAATATAAAGGATTTAAAAAAGAATAGGGGGAGAGGAAGACAGGAGAATACCAGGATGTGGAAGGTAGAAACATGCCTCTCGGTATGGATCCCAAATAACTAAGATGAATTTCGACTTGCTTAGAGTATTCATTTAATGGTAAACAAGTAAACCCGTAAAAACTAAGTTTTTCACTATAAATCCTTTATATGCGTGGCGGCTAGAGTTATCTCGTCCTCTGGCTTGAGATGGCTGCAATCTATGGGTCAGATGATTGTCTGCCAGTATTAAGCAATTGGTAATTAAATATTTAATTTGTTTTCCCAAAACAGTGTAAAATTTTGGAAAAAAAATTTCACGAAAATTAATTGTCACACACAACGAGTATGTGTGGAAAATGTCAGCTCGATTGGATCACGGGAAGTGGGTTAAAAAACGAGCGAAAGATTTGCACGGTCCTAAGCAAGCAAGCGAACTTAATATAAAGGATTTAAAAATATATTTGCCTGTGGAGGACGCGGGGATCGATCCCGCGACCTTTGGCATGGGAAGCGAGGGCGCTACTAACTGCACTACTCCACCACAGCCTGTGGAGGGGTTACGCTCTGGGCTCTTGCACTGTGATGTTCAGCCGAAGCCATGAATGCGTTCTTTTTGAATATATGTAAAATATTTTTTTTTTTGCCTAAAAAGTGTAACATTTTGGGAATTTTTTTCACGAACAATAATTGTCTGGCACAACGAGTCTGTGTGGAAAATGTCAGCTCGATTGGATCACGGCAAGTGGGTTAAAAAACGACCGAAAGATTTGCACGGTCCTAAGCAAGCAAGCAAGCACGCGAACTTTATATAAAGGATTTAAAAAGAAAACTACTTTGGATCGAGTGTCAAAACATCATATGCGCGTGCAAACTTCCATTGACAATAAACAAGGCATTCATTTTTTTTCTTTTTTTTTGGTATAGCCCTGTGAGCCATTCGGCTCTTGAATCGGGTGCAACCACAACAAACAAAAAAAAACATGAAACAAAAACATGACCAAGAAAACATCTTAAAGTGACTATGTGACTATGTGCAAACAGAAAATACAAGAAAAGATAGCAAAATATTGCAGAAAAAGCACCGTACACCAACGCTGTGTGCAAAAATTCCAGTGGGATGCAAGTCAAACAACAACAACCACAAGACAACTCAATTAAGGCCATCAGTTTAACTCCGTACTACAACAAACAAAACATGGCCAGACCAAAAACGTTTTAGAAATTACCAAAATAAAGCCATAAAAGCAATGTAACAGTGATCATAGGAACTGTGACCGAATTCTCACAATAAACAACATGTACCACCAAACCCTGCAGCCATAGCTGGCTGCATGAGTCACTCCACAACAACAGGAGCATCAGTCGGAGTATCAAACATTTTCAATGCACCTTTAAGATCAGCACACTTAAGCAAAACACAGATCATACTTTGCAGCGGTCGTCCGGAGCGAAATATTTTATTTTATTTTAGACCACTGAATAGCAGTGGCAGCTAGGGGTGTTCAGCTCCTCTAGAGCAGTTTTGAGTAAAGATCTCACAGGTAGTCATTTAAGTTGCAGTTTATTGGCAATAGCATTCCAGACCCTGGGGGCATCAATAGCAAAAGCCGTTCCTCCTGTATTTGTACGGCCAGAGTCGGGAGTAAGCGTGCCGATAAGGACGGCCATTTGAAATCTATTCTCACAACAAAAAGTCCAATATAGGACTGAAACTGCAGACAAGAGTTGTCAAAATCTTGTTCAGGTATGAAGAGATCTGCGAAGATGCACAACCAAAGTACATATACTGTGAGCCAGCCTGGAGTGATGGTCTTATTCATAAAAGATGGGACATGTTTTTGCTAAGGCCTTTTCACTCTGACGTTCAGCATTGTGATTGAAACGTGATCACATTGTGTCCTCGACTCTGAGTTGGTGCTTGAATCACTTCCAATTAAATATAGCCCTTGATATACAGTGCAGATGGTATAACATTTGCCACCTGTCCTTCTACATCGTTTTTAAAACCCATTTTACAATCAAGTTTTGTGTGAGAAAATAAATTCACCCTCAATGCCGTTTAAGTCTTTGATCAATCCATCTACATGTCCTCAATTCATCTCCTTGTCCCTGGCCGCCGATGAAAACACCTTGAAGCTCAGCATTGTCTTGAACGCGTGGCGGAACTGTTTGTTGAACATGGGATACAGAATGGGGTTGATCGTGGAGTTCATGTAGCCGATCCAAAATGATATTTTGTAGGGCAGAAAGATATCCTGGTACATGGTGAACACTATGGCCAAGATATAGAATGGCAGCCAGGAAATGATGAACGCTGCAATGATAGAGCCCAGTGTCTTTGTTGCGTTGTGCTCTCGTTTCATGTTGGTCCAGCGACTCGTGGTCTCACTGGCAACTCCGGGAAGCCCGTGGCTCTGCGTCCCGATCTTGCGTGCCTGACTACGAGCCACCTGATAAATGTGGCCGTACATGAGCATGATGAGCAGCACCGACGTGAAGTATGGCACCATTCCGATGGTGAACAGGATGCCCACACTGATGAGAAAGCGGCAGTCGTTCGGGCAACCTACCATCTCGATCCGTCCCTTTGCCAGCGTGGGACTCATGCTCAGAAGGATCGGGGTTGATATAATTGCTGAGGCGATCCAGCAGAAGAGGAGCATGAACGTCAGGGTGCATCGTGTCACCCGCTGCTGGTAACGCAGGGGGTCGCAAATGGCCACGTAGCGGTCGTAGGCGATGCAGCTCAGGTGCAGCACTGACGCAGTCGTGAACCAGTAGTCGCAGAAGAACTGCACGTTGCAGAACCATTGCACATAGAACCAGCACTTGTAGATCGCCTTGATCATGGCGAGGGGCATGATGACCACCCCGACGAGGAGGTCAGACACGGCCAGCGACAGGGCGAGCGTGTTGGTCCGCGTCTGCAGCTGCCGGAAGAAGGCGACGGCGCTGATGATGAGGAGGTTGCTGAGGATGGTGGTGGCGATGAAGCTCATGACGCCCACTATCAGTGCACTCTCACTTTTGGAAAAGTCCATCTTCGTGCAGTTGAGTCCGTAGTAGGAGATCACACATTTGGATGTGCTGGTGCTCGTGGTGTTCTCCATGGGTGGTGCACAGGTTATTCACAGGACGTGCTGAAGACGCGTATCTCCAAATGTCCAGTTTGCTCTGTCTACGCACGTGGTGTGTCTCCGCTACAATGTTCCCGCAGAGAATGGACAATCATTCCAAAAGACGTTTACCGATGTGATGTACTGGTTACGTGAAATTATATTGCATCTTCACTCGACCTATATCCTCTCCCACTGATGTTCTGTATATCAATATTTCGTGATGTTTTTTTTTATCGCGAGGGTGCCGATGTGTTCTTCAATTTAGTGCAATCGGATCTGTGGAAGGGGTATGGGGGTCGAGAATGAGAAAATATTATTCATATATCTTCTACACATGGCACAAAACCTCACTGATCTCGCCAAGGTACATAAACCATCAAGCAAACTCCGGTCATCCTCACAGCAGCGGCTTTTGGCTGGCCATTGAACAAAGACGGTCACGGCATCGCACGCTTTCAGATGCGTTTCTGCGGCCGTCTGGAACGCATTTCCTTCCGATATTAAGAAGCCACCTGAGCTCTAAAAGTTTAAAACATCTAAGTTTAAACCTAATTTCTTTAGAGCTGCTTTTTGTATTCAGTTTGTTAGCTCTCAATAACAGAACTTACCCGTTCACTTCATGTTAGCTATAGGAAGGATATTTCTCTTTGTGATTGTTTGCGTATATTTATATATGGTAGTGTGGGGAGTGGTAGTGTAGCGGTTAGTGCGCTGCGCTACGAACACAGTGACACGAATTCGATTTCCGTTCACGGCCAATACTAGTGACGATTATTTGAACCGGTCCTGGGCCTCCCTAGGTCTACTCAGCATCAAATGGGTACCTAGTGCAATGTTTCAACGTCGCCACTATGGAGACAAAGCGCCGTGTCGACCTTCATAGGTGCTCGCTAACAGCACTTACCCCAACAGCTTGTTCAGGCTATACAGGGGATCTTTGTATTTGTTATATATGGTAGTGCAGCGAATATCACTCTGCACCACGAACCCGGGCACCCGAGTTAGGACCTCTTACAAGGTAGTTAACATCTCGCCACCACGGCGTCAGATCATGGGCGTATGAATAAATCTTAATCTACCAACCGATGATTTCTATATCACGAGTTCCTAAGTTTCTTGGAGACAACCCTCAGACGAAAACGTGCACCTCGTTGGATGAACAGCAAACGTGATGGCGAGGAGGTGTCCGCGTGGCTCACAGAACATGGGTTCGAATCCCAGTCGCCTGTGATTAAATCGGGTTCTCGAGTGTGGTGAGTCGATGGTCTCAGCCCCGTCACGAGTGACTCACACAGACCCATAGACTCACATAGCCATTTATAGACTCGTATAGAAAACCATAGACTGACATATACATATACTGATTTGTGATTAAACTAGTTTCTCAAGCACGGTGAGTGAATGTTATTAGCCCGGTCACACAAAAAACAGCCACTTAATTTGGCGAAATTACTGCCTTGAGAATGCAAATATCGCTTTGAGCGTCCGGCAACGGACGTTGCGCTCATGACGCAGAGTGAGGTTGGAGGAGTGCTGCCCTCTCTGCTGTGTGGCCCAAGTGACCTGAAGGGATCTGAAGAGGTACAGTGAGGGAAAAAAGTATTTGATCTCCTGCTGATTTTGTACGTTTGCCCACTGACAAAGAAATTATCAGTCTATAATTTTAATGGTAGGTTTATTTGAACAGTGAGAGACAGAATAACAAGAACAACATCCAGAAAAATGCATGTCAAAAATGTTATAAATTGATTTGCATTTTAATGAGGGAAATAAGTATTTGACTCCTCTGCAAAACATGACTTAGTACTTGGTGGCAAAATCCTTGTTGGCAATCAAAGAGTTCAGACGTTTCTTGTAGTTGGCCACCAGGTTTGCACACATCTCAGGAGGGATTTTTTCCCACTCCTCTTTGCAGATCTTCTCCAAGTCAGTAAGGTTTCGAGGCTGACGTTTGGCAACTCGAACCTTCATCTCCCTCCACAGATTTTCTATGGGATTAAGGTCTGGAGACTGGCTCGGCCACTCCAGGACCTTAATGTGCTTCTTCTTGAGCCACTTCTGTGTTGCCTTGGCCGTGTGTTTTGGGTCATTGTCATGCTGGAATACCCATCCACGACCCATTTTCAATTCCCTGGATGAGGGAAGGAGGTTCTCACCCAAGATTTGACTGTACATGGCCCCGTCCATCGTCCCTTTGATGCGGTGAAGTTGTCCTGTCCCCTTAGCAGAAAAACACCCCCAAAGCATAATGTTTCCACCTCCATGTTTAACGTGGGGATGGTGTTCTTGGGGTCATAGGCAGCATTCCTCCTCTTCCAAACACGGCGAGTTGAGTTGATGCCAAAGAGCTCCATTTTGGTCTCATCTGACCACAACACTTTCACCCAGTTGTCCTCCGAATCATTCAGATGTTCATTGGCAAACTTAAGACGGGCATGTATATGTGCTTTCTTGTGCAGGGGGACCTTGCGGGCGCTGCAGAATTTCAGTCCTTCACGGCGTAGTGTGTTACCAACTGTTTTCTTGGTGACTATGGTCCCAGCTGCCTTGAGATCATTGACAAGATCCTTCCGTGTAGTTCTGGGCTAATTCCTCACCGTTCTCATGATCATTGCAACTCCGCGAGGTGAGATCTTGCATGGAACCCCAGGCCGAGGGAGATTGACAGTTCTTTTGTGTTTCTTCCATTTGCGAATAATCGCACCAACTATTGTCACCTTCTCACCAAGCTGCTTGGCGATGGTCTTGTAGCCCATTCCAGCCTTGTGTAGGTCTACAATCTTGTCCCTGACATCCTTGGAGAGCTCTTTGGTCTTGGCCATGGTGGAGAGTTTGGAATCTGATTGATTGATTGCTTCTGTGAACAGGTGTCTTTTATACAGGTAACAAGCTGAGATTAGGAGCACTACCTTTAAGAGTGTGCTCCTAATATCAGCTCGTTACCTGTATAAAAGACACCTGAGAGCCAGAAATCTTTCTGATTGAGAGGGGGTTAAATACCTATTTCCCTCATTAAAATGCAAATCAATTTATAACATTTTTGACATGCGTTTTTCTGGATTTTGTTGTTGTTATTCTGTCTCTCACTGTTCAAATAAACCTACCATTAACATTATAGACTGATAATTTCTTTGTCAGTGGGCAAACGTATAAAATCAGCAGGGGATTAACTATTTTTTCCCTCAATGTAGTTGCTCTGGAGTTTCTTATACACTTCGGGCCATTGTCGCAAAACACAGAGGGTTGGAATGGGATGTGTTTGGTTCCTTCATCGGAACGCCGACAGAACAAGAGTGACCACCCCAAACACGGACATCGTGGGTTGTAACTCAGCTCAGCAAATGTCCGAGTTGAATGTCCAGACGGGGGGCAAGACACAGCCAAAGCGCCCCGATTAACTAAACGTGCCACGAAGATTGGCTCACACCGTCGTTACCTATCTCGGTCGCTCTCACCAGGATGAGCGGAGTGAGAGCGGTTGCAGTTGGTCTGTTGTCTGTCAATAATGTTGTCTGTCAACAAAAAACTTATATTATACTATCGTTTTTTTTGGGTTAGATCGCTTAAATATAAATGTTTCGTTCAACCCGCCACAACCTGACATAGTCAATAAGTAAGGTTTGTCACGTAAATAAAACATGCCAATTCGCTACTAGTACAGCACACGGTTGTGTTAGAGAAAGAGAGGCAGTTTTAAGGACATGTTTATATTTACATTTATATTTACTCGATCAAACCCACAACACCTATATAATGGATGATATCGGTCGCGATAGCCGACGTGTTAAACTGTTGTCTGTCTGTGTGTCTGCGTGTGGGATTTTACCTGTCACCTCGGTAGCCCCTGCTCTCCCACACACACTCGCCCACCTCTCTTTCTCCCCCACGTCTCCACCTTGTGCCGTGCTTATATACATCATTTTACCCCCCCCCCCCCCGCCACGTTCCATTGCCGGCGTCCCCCGTAGGGTCAAGCCAATTAAAATTAATGGATCTCAAGATCTCATTCCGCTGCGCCTGTGCTGTGAACGTGAGGGATTTCATGAAGAGTGGAGTTATTTTTATTCGTGATGCGCAAGCAATTTTATCAAATAACTCGACACCCGGTACAATGAGATCGTCATGACAAACATCTCGTACCTGAAAAATCATGGACAAATCACGCAACTGCGATGACTAATAGCAGCAGCAACATCACCCACTCCCCCTATCCCCATCACTGCGAAAACTTCGCAGTACCCTCCTAAGCGTCTTGAAACTCGGTGAGTCGGTGAGTCTCAAGACTAATAATTATTTGAAAAATGCACCCCATCTCCGTCGGATTACACAAGCTGAACAGTTTGGGCGCCTGGATAGTACTGTACTTTGACAGATGACCTCCGTCGCTTTGCCAGGTGCTGTCGGAGTGGGGTTATGGGATGGTGCAGGGCTCCGTGTAACCCCCCTCGACGAATTCGTGGCGGTTCTCTCCAGGCTCTCTAGTTTCATCACGCATGACACCAAGATCTCACTGTCTGTGGCCACACATCCCAATGTCACGAGGACCCTCTTCAACAACGTCTCCTGAGACTCCTTTTCTGCAGGACAAAGTAAAGGGCATGGCGATGAATGTGAGTCCACAACTCGAGGCGTCCTGCTAAACCAGATGTTGGCAACCAAAATCGCAAGAAGATCCATTTTTTTCGAATTCGGTCAAATAAATCATCAATATTTCAAGAGCCGCAATGCACTGTGAAAGAACATGACGAAGCCGTCCTTAAAGAGCCACATGCGGCAATAAATAAGAGCCGTATGCGGCTTTGGAGCCGAAGGTTGCCGACCCCTGTACTAAGGCAACTTTATTCTTTCAAGCACCCCACCTCCCCCACTGCTTTATTTCTGCCAACCCCTTATAACCCATTCCCCATCCCATGCCACTAATGGGTATCTCTCTAGGGTGTTCCCCTAGTCCCCTAACCCCCTTCATTTCACCCTGCAGCCCACGTGCATGA